CTATGGCAAATGACCTGTATCGTGATTTGAATTTATCATTAATCTGAATTCCCATATTACATTATCATTCATATTTGCAAGTTAAACTGAATTGATCCTGATCCTGTTAATTTGCTCTGTTTCCATGATAATTCCTATGCTATTATACGTTTCTATCCACCTTATTGAACGACTTACCCTTTAATCAGTTTCGCATATTGGCCTCCTTCCCCACTCCAAAACTAGTCTCTTGTTGCTTGATGCTTGTTTATTATTGTTATGCTGTTTTATGCTATTTTAATTTGTAATTTGTTGTTGTTCTGCTTTTAATTGTATGTTGCTTGGGCTTGGCCCCATGTAAGCCTCCCCGAGTCCCTTCGGGGAGATGGAGACAGGGTAGAAAAATAAAGTTCTTCTTCTTGTGCGACTGTGGAGCAGAACAAAAAACTCTGCATCTGTATGCCTGCCCACCATGCCCTGCTTTATGCACAGAGGAAGAACTATTTAAAGTTTCAGACAAGCTGTTTTTGGTCTAAAATTATTTATCCACTTATGTTCCCTCTATTTTATCAGTTTTATACTGATTTCTTTATGCAATGCTTTTGGCACGAAATAACTACATCTATTTCCATCTCAGGTGAACTAGTGAAATCTATTTAGGACTGGATAAATTACCTTCAAGAATCATATAGCTGTTCTAAAATTTTGTTTACTCTCAGTTAATTGAACAAAATGCTAACAATCAAAATACACAATCATTTGCTGGGTGGCCAAAAGGACCGAGCAAACACCATTAATTAGCAAAAAAGAAAGGGTGGAGAGTGATAAAGAAAAGCAGTGCAGTGGGAACAGCGCGAGTCCTTAATGCTGGACATTAGACAGCACAGAGGTTTGCCTATTGTATACCTCTTCTCAATTAATTAATTCTTAATTAATGTTTCAACTAATTAATGTGTCATTTACATTGAATACACTTGTCTGTAATCCATAAAGTAATCATCAGTCCACACTTCCACATGGCATTCAAACACAACCCTCTTTGACTCCAGGAGGATTTAAACATCACTTGAAAAATAAATGCATTCCAAGCATGATAAAAGCAGACTGGAGAGCACAAGAAAAAAAAGACGTGGATCTCCAGACCTGTACACAAAGCTGTTTCTAGGTCATTATCTGCCTGGGACAGACAGCCCGTGGCTCCCCAGCCCCCAATTCACCCCTGTGGTCCTCATTCCTCATGCAGTGAAGTAAACCAGCATAAAACATGGCTAATTAAATTCTCCTTATCTTCTTCATCTGCTCTGGACATGTAACATAAAGGCAAGTGAAATCTTCACTGCTTGCATTATGAGAAGGACAGGGGCAAATTGTATCGCGCAATCTCATACAACCGCAGAGAAGTCATCTATTGATCCCAACTCCAGACTTAAAACATTGAAATTGGTGGAATATTAGATGACATATACAAACAGATCCAAATTATTTTCAGACAACTCTTCATCCTAGTAGATATCAGGGCTGTGTCCAAAAGCTAGTAATAAGCAATGATTACTTTGTTAAAAATATTCAGAGCCCCCCATATACGCCTCTTTACTCCTGCCTTGAAGATAAAACTACTTTGTATTATGTGTATTATGATTTATAACAGAAACATCAATAGCTCAGATTTCCCCAATCTAGTGTTCTCCAGATACTTTTACCTATAACTCCCAGCAATCATGCTACCTGGGATTCTTATTATTCAGTACTGATGGATTTTAACTGAATTTCTTAGAGCTGTTTGTATTTAATTCTGTTTTACTGTTTGTATATTAGTATATTTTAAACTAGCCATCCCCTGACACACGTTGCTGTGGCCCAGTCTGATGATCTGGAAAATAAAGTAACGAGAAAGTGTTCATTTCTAATCTATGTAATTCTTTATGCTTGTGGGTAAACAGTATTTCTTGCTGTTTCTTTGTCAGTGTGGATGTGGAGATTGTCTGGTTTGCCTACTCTGGAATATGCAACATATAGTTGTCCTTCTTTAGGGGTCCCTTTCAAATCTATGATACTATATATCTCTGTGTATGAATCATATCTATCTATCTATATCTATGGCTAGAGGGCTCTTTGACAGGAGGGCTTTGATTACATTTTCTTGCCCTCGTGAAGGGAGTTGGATAGTCTTAAGTATTTTCTGTTGGTCATGGGGGTTCTGTGTGGAAAGTTTGCCCCAATTCTATCGTTCATGGGGTTAAGCATGCTCTTTGATTGTAGGTGAACTATAAATCCCAGTAACTACAACTCCAAAATCTCAAGGTCTATTTCCCCCCAACTCCATCTGTGTTCCTAGTTGGGCATATGGAATCTTCATGCCAAGTTTGGTCCAGATCCATCATTGTTTGAGTCCACAGTGCTCTCTGGATGTAGGTGAACTACACTTCCAAACTCAAGGTCAATGCCCACCAAATCCTTCTAATGTTTTCTGTTGGTCATGGGAGTCCTATCTGCCGAGATTGGTTCAATTCCATCATTGGTGGAGTTCAAAATGCTCTTTGATTGTAGCTGAACTATAAATCCCAGCAACTACAACTCCCAAATGACAAATTCAATTTTTCAAGTGAAGGACATACATTGGGTTGTTAGTTGTATTGTGTCCAAATTTGGTGTCAATTTGTCCAGTGGTTTTTGAGTTCTGTTAATCCCACAAACAAACATTACATTTTTATTTGTATAGATTGGATATGTAAAGGTTTCCCCTTAACTAGTCGTGTCCGACTCTGGGGCCTGGTGCTTATCCCCAACGGTGCTTATCGCCGTTGTCTGTAGACACCTCCAAGGTCATGTTGCCGGCATGACTGCATGGAACACTGTTACCTTCCTGCCGAAGCAGTACCTATTGATCTACTCACATTTGCATGTTTTCAAACTGCTAGGTTGGTGGAAGCTGGGGCTAACAATGGGAGCTCACCCCATCCTGCAGATTCAAAGCACCAACCTTCTGGTTAGCAAGTTCTGTAGCTTAGCAGTTTAACGCACTGTGCTACTGTAGCCCTTTAAATTGGATACCAATGCTTTTATGTCAAGCCGCTTTGAGTCCCCTTTGGGGAGATAAAGCAGGGTATAAAGAAATATAATAATAATTTTCTATTTTGAAAAAGTATTCTATTATTTTACAAAGGTCAATCCTACAAGATAAAAATATAAACACGCAGGCAAACTAATGATTAGACATGAGATAGCCGCCAACTAAGATCAAGCACAAATGCAACCAAGGAAAGGTCCTGAAAACATGCGGAAAGCTTTATAAGGAAGTATTTGAGCAGGATCTGTACCCAAAAAGTAGTTGGATACTTTTCTTTCAAATTAGGACAGACTCTATTCTAGCCATTGAAAAGGAGAAGCTTGGGCTCAGGTCTTTCTGAAAAGAAGTTGGACAGCACCTCATCCTATTTAAAAGCACTGAAACACAAGAATGCAGAATACAGCTTATCCAGCTTATTTGAAAAGACAAGGAATGCACAAAGGCGGGGCTGCTACCTGAAGAACTCCAAAACAAGCTGTTGGAAATAACAACCTCCTTCAAGCCCCCACTAGTGATTTGTTATGTATATAATTCAGGTTGCTTACTGTATAGTATATGTGTGTATTGGTATGCAATTTTCCTTAACTCTGTGTTGTGGGAGGGGCTGCGGATCATGTGATCAGATCTGGGACTATTCAGGACTCAGACTCCATTTTAGAAGTCAGTAGAAACAATATGCTTTAAAGACTCTATTAGACTCTCAGAAGACTCTATTTAGACTTTGGACTGAAAGATTATAAGAAAGATGTCCTGTGTTACCTGCACAGAGAAATTACTTCAAATCCTATCTGTAACTGGATTGATATGCAAAGTACCTGTATGCTGAATACATGAAGTTTGTAAATAAACCAACTACAGTATGTTATTTTAACAAATACTACTTTGGAGCCCCCAGTGGTGCAGTTGGTTAAACCACTGAGCTGCTGAACTTGCTGATCAAAAGGTCACAGGTTCAAATCTGGGGAGTGGGGTGAGCTCCTGCTGTTAGCCCCAGCTTCTACCAACCTAGGAGTTAGAAAAACATGCAAATGTGAATAGATCGATAAATACCGCTCTGGCAAGAAGGTAATGGTGCTCCGTGCAGTCATGCTGGCCACATGGCCTTGGAAGTGTCTGTGGACAACACCGGCTCTTCAGCTTAAAAATGGAGGTGAGCACCTACCCCCAGAATCAGACATGACTGGACTTAATGTCAGGGGAAAACCTTTACCTTTACTACTTTATTTTTGATCTCTTGAGAACATGGTTTAAACCAAGATGTTTTAAGGGAGAGTAGATTTTTTGGGGGCCTCTGAAAAGAACACTTCTGAAATTCTGCTGTTTTTTGTGCATTGTCATATCTCTGTTCCTAACAGTTAAAAGCGAATATCTAGGTATATCAGTCTAACAGCTGAGAAACCTAATTGCCTTGCATAAGTACATGTGGATATATTTACCACTAAAGAGATGGTTGACTCAGGGGAGTTTTTATCTCTTCTCAAAAAGATCATACTTTACAAAAGGTTACGATCTCTAACAAGGTTAGATTCCTGGTTTTCCCAAAAATTACTGAGTGCCATTTTCCAAAGCAATGCATAGTAAGACCATAAGAAAATTTCCAAAATAAGAAACTATTCCAAAGTCAGGACATTACTTGCCCTTTATTCAAAGTTTATTCTAATATACTCAGTTTAAAATATTGTCTGAATTTATATCCCAGAAATCAATGAGAAATTATTCTTTCAAATGGTGAACTAGTTACAACCTTATACAAGATATGGACTGTTAGTGCCCTTTAAACGTTTGGTATCACAGGTGTCAAATACCAAAACCAGAACAATTTGAAAACAAGCACAGCAACTCCTGCACTTACATACCAACACTGGCGGATTATAGCATTATACACGTCTGCCACTTCACATGGTATCTCACATTGTTAACATATGATCTTGCAAAGTTAGCTAGCATTTCTTACCTGTCACAATAGGATATGACTGTGGCCCTGGGACGCTGGCTCCGATATCTGCCGAAGTAGGACTTGTTAAGTTAGCCTTCATATCATCTAATCCACCGGCTAGTGAGGCCATGGCTGAATATTCTGTTGACTGAAGGGAAAGGAAAATGAGCCGGCTTACTAAATCTCTGTTTTAATAAAAAATATACTAATGCATGTCAAAATCAAACTATAGATATATGTATTTATTATTCCTTTTGCCTTGGCATTCTTTTTCACTATTTATTTTCAGGCACAATGTGTCATTCCTTATATACCAAAATGACCTCACAAGGATTATCTTACTTCTTACAGAAATTATGTTAGGCAAAAAAAATGGTGGCATCCTTCTCCAACCCTGGTATTTCCATGTTTTTAACTACTGCTCCTGGCATTCCTGATCATTTCCCATTATCATTCCTGATCATTCCAACCTTTCTAATGCCGCGACCCCTTAATACGGTTCCTCATGTTATGGTGATCCCCAACCATAAAATTATTTTCATTGCTACTTCATAACTCTAATTTTGCTACTGTTGTGAATTGTAATGTAAATATCTGATATGCAGGATGTATTTTCCTTCACTGGACCAAATTTGGCACATATACCCATTACGCCCATCCCCATCAGTATCTAAACTTGAGCATATTGCGTATTAGTGTCAAATTTGGATACTGATGGGGATAGGGGGATTGATTTTGTCCATTGGAAGTTGTAGTTGCTGAGATCTAAGTTAACCTACAATCAAAGAGAATTTCAAACTCCATCAATGATGGAATTGAACCAAACTTGACACACAGAACTCCCATGACCAACAGAAAATACTGGAAGGATTTGGTGGGCAGTGACCTTGAATTTTGGAACTGTAGTTCATCTACATCCAGAGAGTACTGTGAACTCAAGTAATGATGGATCTGGACCAAACTTGGCACAAATACTCAATATGCCCAAATGTGAACATTGTTGGAGTTTGGGGAAAATAGACCTTGACATTTGGGAGTTATAGTTGCTGGGATTTATAGTTCACCTACAATCAAAGAGCATTCTGAACCCCACCAACGATAGAATTGGGCCAAACTTCCCACACAGAACCCCCATGACCAACAGACAATACTCTGTTTCCTGATGGTCTTTGACGACCCCTCTGACACCCCCTTACAACACACACACCCAAAGAGGTCCCAACCCCCAGTGTTAAGAAACACTGTTTTAATAGAAGCTGTAGTCCAAAGCAACTGGAAGTTATCAGGGAGAGGAAGGCTGATTTAAGGTATTTGAAGGAATTATGGTGAGCACATCTCAAGATGGGAAGACAAGATGGATTTGATAAAGTTGCCTTACTTGATGGGTGGAGGAAATGCTTGTGATAGGGTCTACCAAAATTGGGTTCAGCAGAACAACTTTGATATTTTTTAGGGAAAAGTTCAGTACAGAGGACTAGTGTTGGGTTCCAAGAACCCCGTGTGGATACTAATATCTCCGAATGCCCAAATCCCATTATATATAATAGTGTAGTAAAATGGTGACCATAGAACCATAGAATCATAGTGCCGGAAGAGACCTCATGGACCATCCACTCCAACCTCCTGCCAAGAAGCAGGAAAATGGCATTCAAAGTACCCCGACAGATAGCCATCCAGCCTCTGTATAAAAGCCCCGAAAGGAGGAGCCTCCACCACATTCTGGGGCAGTGAGTTCCACTGCTGAACAGCTCTCATAGTTAGGGAGTTCTTCCTCATGTTCAAGTGGAATCTCCTTTCCTGTAGTTTGAAGCCGTTGTTCTGCATCCTAGTCTCCAGGGTAGCAGAAAACAAGCTTGCTCCCTCCTCCCTATGACTTTCCCTCACATGGCCAACATGTCTCCTCTCAGCCTTCTCTTCTGCAGGCTAAACCATGTCCAGCTTTTTACGCCGCTCCTGATAGGGCTTGTTCTCCAGACCCTTGATCATTTTAGTCGCCCTCCTCTGGTAACATTCCAACTTCTTAACATCTCCCTTCAACTGCAGTGCTCAGATGTTTATATAAAATGGCAAACAACTTAAACAAGTGCTACAGACAATAAGATTATCTGTGAAATGGAGGAAAGCTACATCAGAGTGTGCCTGCACACCTGCGTAGCCCAAGCTTTGCTTTTGGGAGTTTTTTCAGGATATTTTTGAGCCATGGTTGGTTGAATCCATGCATTCAGAATCCAAGGTTACAGATGGCTGATTGTAGTATTGTCAAGCTTGGTAGTGGGTTTACAGATGTTGTTCAACAGTGATTGTCAGGTAGATCAAAACTCAATTTTCTCCTAAGTCATTCATTACTGTTATTTTTAAATGCAATGTATTCCCTGTACAGTAGCCAATTATAGTTGCCACTTGAAGAGCTCCACAATAAAAACATACTGTAAATCTGTAAGAAAATGGCATGTTAAGTGTGCCAGAACATTAACACTACTGTCTTAGAATATATACTGCCCTTAAAATTTATGAAATTAAAATTGCTTCTTACATTTATGGTGCCCCTCACCAGTACATAAAGTTCATAAATAAGAAATCATGCCTTGAAATAAGGAACAGGTGGCAAGCATATTGCTGTATAAAGAAACAAATGCTAAAATTCCTTTTTTAAAAAGGTTTCAGGCAAGCTTTACATGTGACTATAACAATCATCAAACATTATGAAAAGACTATCATGTTTTCCTGAGCTTCTGTTTATGGTGTACAATTTTATTCATTAGTAAACTATAATTATTCATGATTAATACTTTTAATTATTGTTATTATTATATATACACATACACCGAGATATATATATATATATATATATATATATATATATATATAGGAGCCCACGGTGGTGCAGTGGGTTAAAGCACTGAGCTGCTGAGCTTGTTGATCGAAAGGTCGCAGGTTCGATTCCCGGGAGCGGCGTGAGCTTCCGCTGTCAGCCCTAGCTTCTGCCAACCTAGCAGTTCGAAAACATGCAAATGTGAGTAGATCAATAGGTACCGCTCCGGCGGGAAGGTAACGGCGCTCCATGCAGTCATGCTGGCCACATGACCTTGGAGGTGTCTATGGACAACGCTGGCTCTTCAGCTTAGAAATGGAGATGAGCACCACACCCCAGAGTCAGACATGACTGGACTTAATGTCAGGGGACTACCTTTACCTATATATATATATATATATATATATATATATATATATATATAGTATTTCCTTTACTTTTGCTGGTGCTTAGAAATATAACTTTGATTTGATGCACATGAACCAATATGGTTATTGTCCAATCTGGGTAAACCGTGATCCATTTTGGTGTCCCGGATTTTGGTAGGGTCTCGATCTGTTTTTTGGGAGCCTCCCGAATTTGGGAGGACAGAAATCTGTTTTTTATCAGGGGAGCCAAAAGATTTATTTTCTATCCGGCCCATTATGGAGGGGACTTCCCAGGCTTCCATCCCGTCATTTTAGGCATTGTTTGTCCTTATATCCTTCATTAAAACTTGGATTAAAAGCATCAGACTTAAGATACCACTCTTTCTCTGATCCTATCCCTTCTGTCTGTAAAGGAGATCGGTTTTAGTACTTTGTTAAAGCTGTTTCTTTCAATCTAGAGGAAACAAGTACTGCAGGCAGCTTCCCTAGACATTTTAAGGAGGCGTCCTACTTCCCAGGGAAGGAAGAGTGATCGAACTAGAGCTATCCTACCCTGGGTATCCTTTAAAAGCCCTCTCTTTTCTCTTGATTTGCACTGCAGGAAATGCCTTTTCCCCTCTCATGCTGTCAATCTCCTTTCTGCTTCGGGTTTAATGCTTCCTTAAAGTTGTTTCTACCTTCTATTCTAGAGAAGAGGTAACTAGGTAGTAGTAGTTTTCTGAGAATTAGGCTTTTTTTTTGTTTGCTAGGATTACTATTATTAATAATTATTATTACCTTTTAGAAGTATTTTCTTTTTTTTAATAAAAAAATTAATTTTCTTTTTTTAACAGATTATTAAAGGAGTAAAGGTTTTCAAAAAATGGAAGAGAGACATGGTCAATTTCAGAAGTATTTTCTGAAGAAGAGGAGGTGTAGAGAAAAAGAAGCTAAAAAGGTGACTCTCCAAGCCACCCACCCATCCTGCACGTTCCCAACTCCTAGTCAGCCCCACTAAATAAAAACAAATCGAGAAAATAAAGGAAAATCAAAAAGATTCAAGAGAGAGGCCAAGCCAGAAGCCAAGCCAAAAAATAAAGATGCGAGCGAGCAAGTGGCAAGGCAATCTGACCGAAGCCAAGCTGCAACTGTAGTGCTGAATAGGGGAGAAAGGGCCATGATTGGCTGCCACATAGTCCCATGATGGATGAAAAATGTGACGTCTGAGCCCTTGCCGTTACGGCGTTCCAACCCAGCCAAAGAAGCCGGTTTGGCCAAAGGGAACCAACCACCCCGAATCCGTACACAAGCCTAATGACTGTGATATTTTTCCTTTAAGATTTTTTTCTTCACATGTGATTTGCCATGAATACCATTATATAGATGAAAGGCCACATTAAAACACTTAAATAAAAAAATTATAATGACTTCCTAACACTAGACCTGAAGTCTATTCCTATATACGCCAGCATAACATTAAATCCCCGCAGTCCAATGGGACATGTCAACTCTTTTGTCTGTTGACCTGGAAATGAATCTCAGAGGTGTGGACTTGGATTAGGATTGCACACTTAGTAGCAAACATGTCTATGCATGAAGCTGCAATACATAACTCTATATAGTTTACTGCTTTGCTGGGATTATGGGAGAAAAATCTTGGTCCACAAATTCATTTTAATTATTTTTATCCATCAATGTTATCTTTGTGTGTAGGTGTGTGTGTAGGTGTGTGTGTGTGTTTTGTATGGTTTTATAGTGTTCAGAATGTATCCTGGTGCCAAAAGAATGTAACTATACAGTACAACCTCGTATCCTCAAGGGATATGTCCCTTGACTCCATGTTGGTATGTGAAACAACAGACGATAGCAAACCCTATTGAAATGAAGGACTTCTACTCCAAGTGTACCACAGAGTCACACCGGGAGATCTATAAAATGTATATTTTGTGAGACATAAATGAAACCACAGATACTAGTCTTGGGTATATG